CTTACTGTGCAGGTCAAGGGCAGGGGACTGCAGCTGCAGGACAGCTCATGATGGGGGTCACTGCCTGGGAGCTCAGAGAAGGCTCCCTGAAGAAGCTGGAGTTTGTGCTGGGGTCCAAGCTGGGAAGGAGAAAACAGCCAGGGCAGGGTGAGGAGGAGATTTTCGTAAAATGGAAGGGAACTGACTGGGCCTGAAGGGTGGGCTTCTGTGAGAGGAAAAGTCTTAAGTCATCAGAAGTCAGGCCTGTCTGTGTCTAATAGGAATCCATGAGGTCTTTTCAGTTAGGGGTCATGTCTCAAGAAAGAGAGAGAGAGGGAGAGCGGGCCTCTGGCTTGCCTATGCTGTGTTCAGGCTGTTTTTAGCCAGCACAGGGCAGTCTCAGGGTCCTGCGCCCCCTCCCTACGTTTGACTGCCACCAGTCAAGCCTCACAGGAGATGCTGTGTAGGAACCTTACCATGGTTCCTTACCATGCAGCATAGGAAGGACTCTTCCTGCTGGCGTGCGAGGGAGCATAACCCTCTGCCACTGAACAAGGGACCATTGAACAAGGGACCAGTCATTGATAGCTGATGGACAGACGTCACTGCTTTCTGACCAAGTCCCAGCAGAATCTTGGCTGAAACAATTGCAGACCCTAAGCTAGTAGTGATTGCTAATAATTCCTGAAATTGTAAGAAATGCTTTTTTTTTTTCAACAAAGAGCTGCAGAAGCAGCTTTGTTCAGGCCACCCACAGGTTTTTCACGCGCCTGTTGTGCTTAGAACTAGCAGCTGGAAGCATGTGAGTCACAGGTGCAGCCTGAAGGAGCTCTAAGAGAAGCCATTGCATTGTTGTTCGCCGGAACATCTGGGAACACATGGATTATTTCAAATGCCAGCCACATGGCCACTGTGGGGAGCGGGGGCGGGAGCGGTGGTTGGCCCTGCACTTGAGGCCTCTGGGTGCATACTTGTGCCTATAAGGTAGGAGTAAGAGAAGGCAGTAACAGACTTAGGATTAGCTCCATGCTTAGAGGTTCTGCTGGATGTTCTGTCTCCTGTTTTCAGGTGTTCCTGTATTGGAATTCTTATGCTTTAAATTTTATTTGGAAGGCAGAGAGGCAGAGAGAAATTTTTTACCTACTGGTTCACTCACCAAATGCCCCCAATAAGTAAAACTGGGCCACAGGCACCAGGAATGTAATCCAGGTCTCCCACAGGGTGGCAAGGAACCAACTACTTGAGCCACCACCTGCTGCCTCCCAGGATGTACATTCATGGAAAGCTGGAATGGAAAGGCAACTGGAACTCAAACCCACATACTCCAGTATCATATGCATCTTAACTACTGCACTCAGTGTCTGCCCTTACATTGGGATTTTTAAGTAGCCCTCTTCGTATTTATAAGGAACAGCACTGTTGTTGTTTCCTCCCCTGTTAAAAGAAACGCTCCCCATCCTCTACCCACCTCCTGAGCACATCACACACGGAGTTTAGTTTATGGTAAAGCTAATGAGCTGCCAGGTGCAGTCCCTGGGAACACTGCCCAGTGGGAAGATCATTGCTCCTGCTGAGGGGGAAATGCACCTCCAGTGCAAACTGATTATGACAACTTGGCATTACTGCCTCTAAAATGGGGTGGATTCTCTCTGGGCTCTGAGCAGGCCAGGCCATGAGATGTGTCCTGATTCCCCGAATGTTGGGTGGCCCTGGCGCTGTGCAGCTTTCCTCCTTGCCACAGGGACCTGGCGGGGGAAGGGCATCAAGTCTGGACGCCTGTGGTGCTCAGAGCCGTCACTGATAAAATAGTGTCTGTGCCATGCGATTTCCATTCGGCTTCCAATTTCCTCTGCACCCCAGCCAGGAGGAATACAGGAGAGCAAGCCCAAACTGTGAAGTCAGCCCCACTGCCTTTAGAGCCCCACTACTCATCAGTGGGCAGTGGAGTCGGGGTTTGAACACACGTCTAGCCAACTGCAGCTTATGCCCTCTGCACTGCACTGTGCTGCTTCCCCTTGCCTCATTAAACGATCAGTCCCATGGTGCATCAGTTCAACGTGCTGCCGTGAGAGCACTGGCCTCAGGGTTCAGGCGGTGATTTAAGCAGCTGCTTGTTCTTCAGGCCAAGTTGGGGAAATGCTACATTCATTCAGGGACCTCCTTTTTGAAGAGATCTGCACTTGAAGTGACCTTGGAGACCTGTTGAGGGAGCCTGCTAGGAGGAGTGCCCACTGTTTTTTTGTATTTCTGTGATTTTCTTTTAAAATAAATGATACATATTTTCAGTATATGGTAGGATTCTGGATTTGTACATCATGAGATCATTGCTATGGTCATGCAGGTTGACTTAGCCATTGTCTCACGTTGATGTGTGTGTGTGTGTGTTGAACATTCTGCTTTGTCTTCTCAGCAAGCTTCCAGCACACAGCACAGTGCAGTTAACTGTGATTTTTGATGCAGTGCAGGGCATATCTAGCTTGTCCAGCCTGCACAGTTATAGCCCTTGCATCTTCTGGCCAGCATCCTCCCATTTCCCCTACCTCCACTCTCGCTCTGGGAACCACCCTTCTGCTGTTGCATCTGTGAAGTCAGCTATTTTTGTTTCTACATATTTGTCACTTGATGCCTAGTTTATGTCACTTAGCATAAGGTACTCCAGGTCCATCCTGGAGAATTGTCATGGATGGCATATTGTCTCTTTTTCAAAGCTGAGTAATATTTCATGGTCTCCTCCATCCTCTACCTATTCCTGGGGTCAAAGGACAATCAGTAGACCCTTGATCACAGAAGGGGTCATATCCCCCAGCCTCTGGGAGATTGCAGCCATGCTTGGAGGCGTGGCAGCAGTGCAGAGAAGGGACCCCCAGGAAGCCACAGGACCTCCTTCCTTTTGTTCTAGGGACTGAGTGGAGAAAAAATGGCCTGAAGCAGGGCCTGGAGTAAGGAAAGCTGGTCCTTGCCAATCATTGCCTTTCTCTCTCTCTCTCTTCCTCATTGGCCTCCTGCCCTTCCCTTCTTGTTGCCTTGGTTACCTCCTGGGGATGCTCCCAGCCTACCCAGCAGACAGTGAAATTGAAAGAGTCCCTGTTTGTGGAAATGGAAATGTGTGAGACTCTGTGACTCCTGCAGAGTGGCGGGGGAGGCAGAGGATGCTGGCAGCCCAAGGGCATCAGGAGCAGCAGGAAGACCTGAGACCTCTCAGGCCAGCCTCTGAGTCAAGCTCAGGTGCTGACTTTGCCAGTGTCTGCCTTTGGGACCTGCCCAGCAGCTGCTCCACAGCCACTATTGACTGTGCACACTCTGGGCCTCTGCTCCCGTCTCTGAAAGTTCTGGCACTGTACCGAGTCACAAGCAGGTGCTTGCTACAGGCCCCAATTCCAGAGTCCCCTTGTCACCTGACTCCCCAGTGGCTTTATCTAGAAGAAGCCTGGAAGAATGGCAGATAGAAAGACCAGAGTCATCCTTCCCTCCCCTCTGCCCTGGGGGCATCCCTGGTAGAGTCCAGTGATACCGCCACCCCCCAAAAACTCTGGCTGCCACAGGATGGATACCTTTGCAGAGTTCCAGCTTCCACTGGGGACCAGCAATGAGGACCCCCAGCCAGCCCTCAGGGGTAGTAGTGCTTCCTGCAGCTGCTTATCTCAGGTACAGCTGTTGGTGTCTCCACTCTCACATTGTACCTCTACCTTGTTAGGTTCCCTGGCTGGCCCCTACCTGCTCTCCCAACCCCCATCCCCTTGCTCTTATTAGCATTCCTCAGGTTTGCACAGGAGCTGGAGTCCTGGGTTCAGGCAGAGCCAGTGAGCAGATCAGCGAGGACACAGCCTGTCTGTAGTGACTGTCTACAGTCACACCATAGCCCTGAGTGCAGGGGAAGGAGGCCGGGGAAGCCTTTCACCTTGGGATGTGGAGCCTTTCATCTGGCCGTGGCAGGCACTCGCTGCTGTGAGCAGGTGCCACCATCATGCTGCTGGGCCTCTCGTGCATCCAGCATGGCGGCACTGGCTCCCCCCACTCAGCATGGTGGCCTGTGTGCTTTGGGCAGTGCTTGTGCTGCCCCTCTGGCTAAGGTGTTGGTTGCCTCCAGAAAGGAGCCCAAGTGTGAACATTCCTTTAGTTTAGTTTTGTTTGTTGGCTGGAGTTGTTAGCAGTTTTTGCAGGTGTGACTCAAAGCTGGCACTGGTGGGGTTTGTGATTGGGTTGATGGTTGAGGACCGGGTACATGGTGGTGCGGTTCACTCTGCAGCCCTCTCAAGAGTGCTGTGCTGCATGAGCAAAGTCAGCAGGGAGCTCTGTTACAGCTGCCTTTCCAGTTACAGATGTGGAGTCCTCTCCCTCTTGCCTAATGTGCCAGGAGTGCAATCTCAAAATAGGAAGCTGAAAATGCCGAACTCCATAGCGCCATGCAGCACAAAATGGGCATCCATTGCACAGAGGGGACAACCAAGGCTTAAAGAGGCTGAGGGACCTGTTTATGGTGACACTGAGAGTTGTGGGGCAGAGCCGGGCTGCCTGCCTCAGCTCCTCAACACCGCCCTCACGGAAAAGGAGACAGTATCCTGGGTCCCAGACATAACTAGGAGAGTTCTTGCATCTGGGTCTGGTGTTGGCCAATCCCCAGCAGGGCAGTGGGGAATCAGCCCAGGATTCCTTTGCTGCCCTTTGCTTACCACAGTCCTAGATTATAACCAGGATCACTGGATCAGGCTTGTGAACGCCATGCCTTTCTGTGACAATTTTGTTCATAAAAATCTTAATTTTATTTACTAGGTCATCTACCTCATAATAGCATGCATTATTAATAAAGCAGCTTAATGCAGTCTATTAACCAGGCTTACTCTTCACGCTGTAAAGTGCATCTCTTTTTTTACAATGTACTTTACAACACCACGTGATAGCAGCACGGGTTTAGAGTACTCTAACAGCTTCTGCGTGGCCTTCCGTGGCCAGTCTGCATGCTGAGGGCTCCAGGCACAGGGAGCGTGTGGTTCTGAAACTTTTATTCTCCCCCACTGCCCAAGTTTGTCCACTACCTCCCATGGTGAGTCACGGAGATTTCATCTGCCACCCGCGGCCTTGCGAGCGCTACAACCACGGCACCGTGGTGGAGTTCTACTGCGACCCCGGCTACAGCCTCACCAGTGATTACAAGTATATCACCTGCCAATATGGAGAGTGGTTCCCATCCTACCAAGTCTACTGCATCAAATCAGGTATGGCCACTACCCCAGGGCAGTCTGAGCAGCCCAGGCCTGCAGCATACCACCCCAGCAGCCACAGGATATGCAGACATGGCATTGGGATGCTGGCACTGGGAGGCAGACTGGGGATGAAGAGCCTGCCCATTCCCAGCTTAGGATGTTAGCCACCCAACAGGCAAGCTCTCTAGCCAAGGCACCCAGGCTTCTCGTGCCTTACCACCTCCCCCTGGCCAGGATGCATAGCCTAAATGCGACCAGGATTAGGCATGTTGCCCAGAGACTGAGCTGCACGTGAGCACATATGGTGCTGCTGATGGTAAGGCCCCATGGAGGCCACCTTCAAACACCAGTGGGCCAGTTAACTGCACATCACCTGCAAACCAACCTGACTACTGGTCTCAATGCCCTGGGCAAGGACTGCACAATGAACGCCTGGGCCCAGCCTCTCACACATTCTCTCCGGCATTTTCCAGCAGTGATGTTGGCCACAGACTTCCCCAGCCTGCAGGTGAGGGATGTGCCCCTTTAATGCTGGGCATCTGGAGGCATGCAGGTAGCTGTGGGAACCAACAAGGAGAAAGTGCAGAGAGAAGCTGAGAGGACACGCCCTGAGGGGAACAGCCATGGAAGGGGGAGGTGAGGAGGCAGCTAGGCTTACACCAAAAGGAGAAGAATCTGTTCCCCCCATTTCAGACAGCTGAGGTGGTGGAACCATAGAGTGGGTGTGCCACCCAACCAGCCACACTGCCCAGAGTGTTAGCCCGGCTTCCCTCTCCCCAGCACCTGGTCCCTTTCAGAACAGCTTCTCCACGGAGAGGGATACCCCTTTCATTCTCTGCCCATGCAGCAGCATATATTCCCTGGGCCTGTGCTGGGTTCTGGAGTATGAACTCGCAGGCCTGTCCTCCACATGGCAGAGCCCATGCTGGAAGTGGGTGTCAGAGTGAAGCCAATCTCAGAGCCTTGCCTGAGCTGCTGGGTTTCTGTTGAGCCTGTAGGTGCCCTGCAAATGTCCCAGGATGGAACAGCATGCAGGGACCTCTGGTGGGCCTTGGCACCTGTTGCAGTGAGGAAGCTTATATGGGGTTTGTCTTCTGGCAGAGCAAACGTGGCCCAGCACCCACGAGACCCTTCTGACCACGTGGAAGATTGTGGCGTTCACAGCAACCAGTGTGCTGCTTGTGCTGTTGCTCGTCATCCTGGCCAGAATGTTCCAGACTAAGTTCAAGGCCCACTTTCCTGCCAGGTCAGTGCCGTGCTGAGGTTCTTGGAGAGCTGAGAGGTTTTGAGGTACATGGAGTATGGGGTCAGGGCAGGTTTGCTAGGCCTAGAAAGGGCACAGAGTCAGGATCTGGGCTACACCCTGTCCCACCTGGGGCTGGCATTCCTTTTGGCTAACCACATGTGGCTCTGGATTACATAGCTTGGAGGGCAGCACGTGCACACCATGACCAGGTGTCAAGGTCAAAGGCCTGTGGGCCATGCAGCAGCAGAACAGACAGCAGGTGAGGGAGGCAGGAGCATCCAGCAAGGCTTCCCTAGAAGTGGCTGTGAACATATAACAGAGGGAAGGCTGAAGATGGTTCCCCTTCCTCCTCGGCTGAGGGAAGGGTTGGCATCCTCACCTTCACACGCTGGCCCCTCCAGTTCCTAGAGCCAGCGCCTGTCCTGCACAGACCCCAACACTGCCAGAGGAGCCTTGTCCTGGCTGAACAAGTGGATTCAGAAGGGTAGGATCCACTTATGGATGTCAACAGAGGGGAGTGGGCAGCCAGACCTCCCAGATGTAGGCTAGAGGGCATTGGCACCTGCCGCCTTTGGCTCGGCCTCTTTGCCCACTTCACTGCCCTTCCACCATCGGACGCTGCTTTTCTCTGCTGCTATATGGAGGGGCCTTTGCTTCATTGCACAGGGGCAGCCTGGTCCCTGAAGGAGGAGTGAAGGAAGAGAGCAGGTTGTTGCGGACCACATGTGCCCCCTCTGTCTTAGCCCCACACCCTGGGACAGCCACACCCCACTTGACAGTGTCCTCCTCTCTGGCTTCAGGGGCCATTGCTGTGGTCACAGCTGATCAGAACCCTGCTCTCCCTAGCCACAAAACCATGCTGCACTTGGCACTCACTGCCATCCCTCTGCTAAGCCCCAGGTGTACCAGTGCCATCCTCATGGCATAGCCAAGCCCTTACTCAGGTGATAGAACCTTCTTTCCTGGCAGATCTGCCACATACTCTCTGGGTCTGCAACATTATTATTTTATTAATCAAGGGACTGTGTTCTTTCACGGAGCAATTACAGTATCTCCAGCAGGCCTAAGGATTATACAGAGAAAGCTAGACTGCACCAAGGTGATTGACGGTGCATTCAAGTGCCTCAGAATGGCCCATGGAGCTATTCTTCTGTGTGTGCTTGAAAGAAAAGATTTCAGGGTATCGACTACATATTAAGATGTTCTTGAAATGTTCCCAAGGCTCGCCTGATGCTCTTTAGCCCTCAAATATATCCACCTTACATCATTCCCTAGTTATTGGGAGAAAGCTGGTCTCATCTATTCACATAGATGGTCAGATCCTCAAGGGCAAACCTGAAATCTGCTTTACTGCAGGTCCTGTGAGGGTAACCAGGGCAGGGATGTCTGATGTTCAGGCATAGGGGAGCCCAGTGGCTCAACTGGCACCCTGTAGCTGTCTCATTCCCTCTAGTTTTGGAGTCACTGCTGCCATTACCCTCTTCCCCCTCTCCCCTCCCCGCCCGCCTTGGGTTTGCCCTTCCTTCCTTCCTGGCATTTTTACCTTCTGGCTAATTGTTCAGTACCCCTTTGCCCTGTAAGGCACGTGGTCACACAGAGCTCGCACTTTGGGCTCAGACCCTGCCTCTGTGCACAGTCAGCAGCACAACTGACTGTGCAATGTGATGAGAGGCACGGGGGTCTGGCCAGGGGGTCTGGTCATGCACAGTCCATGTAAGGGACGCCTGCAGTCTCAGTGGACAGACCTCCCAGCAGCAGCCCAATACAGCACAGTGGTGACAGGGTGGCTGTGGCTGCCTTTCGTCATTCTCCCTGCTGCTTTTCCATCTCCACTGACAAAGTGAGTTCCACAGTGGTAGAAAAGAGATACAAAGCATGACAAACGGAGGGTCAGCTGTTCCTGTGGGCCCTCCTGGTCCCAAATCCACTAGACAGCTAATGATGCTTTCCACTAAACATCTTTTAGGATGCTATGGTTTTCATCCTATGAGGTCACAGTCACAAAGCCAAGTCCAGAGGTCAAAGGAAAGCATGAGGAGATGCGAGAGCCCAGGGTCAACCACAGTGGGGAACCAAGGAGGAAACATGAGAGAGACCACCCTCCTTCTCCAGAACGTGGCCTAGGTGGACAGTGCCATCTGCCAGAGGGGACACAAGTAGCTGGCTGGTTCTTCCTCCCGCCAGCCAGGCCCTGCCCTGAGGAGCCCAGCTGCATGGAGAGTATGGATGGCGTCATTCCCAGGCTGGTGTAGAGTGTCATATATAGCTGTTATTTGTTTATTTATTGTTTAAACATTTGTTTATTTGAAAGAATAACAGAGAAAGATGGAGAAACAGAGAGAGGGAAAGATCTTTCATCTGCTTGTTCACTCCCCAGTTGGGTCAGACCAAAGCCAGGAGCCTGGAACACCATCTGGGTCTCCCATGTGGGTGTAGGGCTAAGGATTTGGGTTATTTTCCACCGCTTTTGTAGTGCATAAGCAGGGCGCTGGATCAGAAGTGGAGCAGTGGGGCCTTGAACCAGCACTCTGAGATGGGATGCCATGGTTGTAGGTGGTAGCTTACTCCACCATTGTGCTGACGCTTGCCCTGCATTGTACAAACTGACACCACTTTCCTTTGCACAGGGGACCTCCCAGGAGTTCCAGCAGTGACCCGGACTTTGTGGTGGTGGATGGCGTGCCTGTCATGCTCCCGTCCTATGACGAGGCTGTGAGTGGCGGCTTGAGTGCCTTAGGCCCCGGGTACCTGGCTTCTGTGGGCCAGGGCTGCCCATTACCCGTGGATGACCAGAGCCCCCCAGCTTATCCTGGCTCAGGAGACACGGACACAGGCCCAGGGGAGTCAGAAACCTGTGACAGCACCTCAGGCTCTTCTGAACTGCTGCACAGCCTGTATTCATCGCCCACGTGCCAAGGGGGTGCCCGCCCCACTCCTGACAACCCAGACACAGTCGCTGCCACGGCGGGAGAGGCGGCATCTACCAGCCCAGGCATTGACATCGCTGACGGTGAGTATGGACGATACCCTGTACCTGCAAGCCACCCCACATCCAATCCCACACCCCCAATGCTGGCTGTGCACAAGCTCCTTGACCCCAGTCTGTCCCTCTTTCTGCCACTTAGCGTCAGTTGCTTCTTGTTTTCTCCACACATGGAGACTGTGGGTAAGGCCAGGTATTGCCGGAAATGTTGGTGATCTCACAGGTTGTGAAAGTCAGGAGGTACAGAGCCCGGAGCCATCTAGAGTAGAAAGGTCACTGGGGCTGGTACTGGGCCTTTAATAGCTCTCTGTGAACCAGGATGTTTTTCTTAAAGAGGCAGTACTTTGGGGAGCTGGGCTTTGGACCAGCGTAACAAGTGCACAGAGAGGAAAGGGCTATGTCAGCAGCCCAGCAGCATGCCCCAGTCTTAGAAAGGTTTGTGTCCATGAAGTTCCCGTTAGCAAGTGTAGCCAGGAAGGGCAGATTGTAGCTCATGGTCCTGGCTGGTTGGCTGGGGTGCTGTTATCCAGGGGAGTGCAGCAGCATATGGCTGTGCAGACAAGAGCACCCCTTCCAGCGTGTGCTTGCTGGGACCAGCAGTGCGTCTCGGTACTCGACTGTGTCACTCTCCAGCCTATGTGTGTGATGGAAGCCCAGTGTTCTGCTTTTCTGTGATCTGGGCCCTAGTTGTTTTCCTGTAGAAGTGTTACCCTGGTAAGCTGATGCCTGGTATGTCCCTCTGCTCACCTGTGCCAGGAATGGCTGTCATTCCTGCCATGCTCATCATTCCTGACCCCAGAGAACTCTCTGAGTTCTCCAGCTGTGCTAAGCTAATGCCTGTCTCTTCCTTCACAGAGATCCCTCTGATGGAAGAAGACCCCTGAGTGGGGAAAAAAAAACTCCGGCCATCCTACTGCCCTTCTGGGGAAAGGAATTTTGCCCGTTGGGATGAAGCCACTAATGGACAGAGCTTAAGGCCACAAGGCACCTATGTGGGGACAGTGATGCCTGCAGCCATCTCAGACTCAGTGGCCATGCTTTCCAGTGAGACTCTTGAGGACCAGACAAGGATGGACAGCCAGAGGCAGCAGGAAAAGCCCCATGCGTGGTTCTGGAGGGAGGTGCCCAGCATGTCTCATGCTGTGGAACGGGGCAGTGGACACCAGCCCACATCTCACATCATTCCCCCACCATTTGCTCCATCTCGCCTGCTCCCCACCCCTCTGAAAGCATGTCGCCTTCTGTAAATTTGCTTCTCCCACCTGCTGCAAGCCACCTCTGGACTTCTGGTTTGAATAGCCCAGTCTCTGCGGGTGTTCTTGGCCTGGCCTCTGCAAGCACAAGGCCCCAAGAAGGAGACTTCCGTGTGACTCTTGGGTAGTCTCCTTCCATCTGCATGGCTCCACTCCAAGCCAGCCTAAAAGCAGGACATGGCAGTTCCAATGAGAAAGGGATGGAGAGATGGGCTGACCCTGCTTTCCAGAAACTTCAACATGAAGCAGAATTCGTGTGCCCTGCTCTGGGCTGTAGTGGCCCATCATCAGTATTTGTGTTCATGGTGTGTGCCACACAGGCCTAGGATATGGAACTGGTCTTGTGACTTGATGTGTGGTTCGGACATGTTGGGATACGCCCCGGTATGAGACCATAGGCTGTTGTGTTTTACATTATAAACTCTGCACTCAGCTGTGGGTCTCCAAGACAGGAGCCCCTGCCCAGGTTGCTGGTCCCACATTGAAACCATAACCATGCTTTTATTTGCCAAAGCAGAAATTGCTTCTGTAAACATGTTCTGCCTTCAAACAAAGTGTGAGCCTGGATTTTATGCTCTGCCCCACCCTGTCCTGTGACATGTGGGACCTGGTTGTGGGTCCCCCACCTGCCTGCCATGCTTGTGTTTCCACCATAGGGTCTCTGGTTCCCCAACTAGTTGCAGGAGAAGCCGGCTGATGGGTTTTAAACAGTCTCCAGTCCTGGACTCCAGGTGGCTACGCTCCTCCTGATTCAGACCCACACCAAGCACGCTGCGATCCCTAGCACCACCGTGCTGACAGAGCAGAGGGCTGGCCTCTCCATCCGGTCCTGCTTATTCTTGACACAGATGGATTAAAAATTAAAAGGAAACGATGGTTTACAGCATGACTTTCATAGCATAAGAGCCAGGTGGGCAGGGAGGGGCAAGAGTGATGGCACGTGGTGAAGTGGACAGTCAGCTTCAGAGCCTGAGGCTGACCGAGGGGTCGGCTGAGAAGGACCTGCTTTACCTGGTGCTCTGTGCAAGGTCTTCCCTGAGGTGGCAGGGCAACCAGCTGTGACGACAGTGGGGCATACGGGTCAGAGGGCTGAGTAGCTGCTGCTCCCTTGAGGAAAGGCCCCTGGCACAGCTCTGAACCATTCAGAGAAAGGCAGGTGAGTCACTGTCACCTGGCCCAGGAGCAAGGGCACTGTGGCCATCTCCACCAGGCAGCCAGGGGGCTCCAAGATCACCCAGTGAGTGCCTCAGGCCAGTCAAGGGACATGTGTGCGGCTGTCCCTGGGGGCTTCCTGTCCAGTCACCAGCACCTGGAGAGACAGGTGCACCGGGTACCATGACAAGGTGTTAGGATCAACCTATTCTGAGAACTGTGGCTGGCAATACCACTGGGTCCCAGCATCTGACGGTGTCTAGCCCAATCCCCGAGCCCCTGCTCTGTGGCCGCATCAGTCTTCCTAAGCTTCATGGTGATATTATTGTCATTATTATTATAAATGAGCAGCTCCAAGTATGCCATGATCTTATCATCCTTTTCTTTGAAAAGTCCTAGGAACCCTCTAGGGTAAATGGAATCAATATCTGTCACCCTCCCCCAGAAATGAGGTGGGGCAAGGACGGGGTCAGGGTGGATGGGGACACAATGTGTCACAGTGTGCACAGGTTCATTGTGCCCCGGGGGAGGGTGTCCCTTGGGAGCATGGGCAGCAGCCTGCCGTGGAAGCCAAGGATGCCCCATGGAGCCAGCCTCAGTCAACGTGTAACTGATGAGTAGAGTGGCTAATTCTGGCTCACCGGCCCCCAGGGTGACCACAGCAGAAGTCACAGGCGACATTACACTTCACTTCCAGGTGGCTCTGTTGCGTGGCAAGGCAGGATTCACCAGCGCAAGATCCACAGTGCCTTTCCCAGCTAATTGCACCCGGCCCCGGCAGCTGGCACATGGCCCAAGCCATCTCCTATTGCTGCAGGGATGTGTGTCCTGGTCCTCAGCCTGCCAGCCCCACTTACCTCTCCCATTCCCTCCAGGCCTGGCAGGGAGAAGCAGCCCAGGATCATAGGAGAGCAGAGGCTTTATAACAGACTTCCTGCCCCTGCCACCCACTACCTGCTGGTGTGAGACATTGGCCTCACTGGGCCTTCATGTCTTCCTGTGGGTTAGGCGTATCTCTGACTTCCCCTGCCCACTGGCTGTGGTGAGGCTGACAACTGGTGAAAGTCATGCCCGCAGCCCACAGGGGACATTTGATCCCCAGAGGCTGCTATACCCTGTGTAGGGGCAGAGTCGTGTGCATGATTAATTGCAGATTGTTCACCCAGGATTGCTGACCTGCCCCAGTCCCTTCACTCGTACAGGTTTTTGCAGGTAAAGGTTGCTAGCGACTGCCTGAAGTAGATGGACTAAAGTGTACGGCATCTGCTTGCTCTTCCCAGCACAGCCCTCCTGTGAATGCTACAGAAAACTGTGTAGGGAGGGTTGCATCTAACATCTCCCTAAGGACTTGGGGATCCTGCTCATCTCCGTGGTCATCCCTGTAGATTAACATTCACCTGCTTCCCGAATTTTATGGTCCGCTTTGGACTTCAAACATAAAAGTTAATACCCACACATTTCCAAGGTGATAAAGCGGACAAGTCTGTAGCAAAGATGCCTGATCTGGAAGCAAAACAGAAAGGCAGGGAGCAGCAGTCACTAGTCAGGGAGGGTGAATACAGAGCACGGTGCCGCTGAAGTCGTAAGACTTAGTGCAGAGCATGTGAGCCATACAGCCGCTTTAACCTTCCTGCAGGCAGACTGCGTGTTTATACAGGCTGGGAACCAGGCCCTGGGGACCTGCAGTGTCTTGGCCTGAGTGGCACAGCTGCTTGTATAGAAGCCCTGAACAATGCACACACACTGGCAGTTCCTCCAGATTTCCAGAGCTGCTTTGGCATCCCTCAGAGTAACTGCAGGTCCACCAAGATCAGAGCTGAAGAAACCCTCAACACCAGTCACTGCATAAGGAGTTTAGGGGAAGGGGTTGAGACGAGTCTGAGTTCCCTCAGACTGATATTTTCTGTCTGGAGCCTCTAGGGTCAGTGCACACTTGTGAAGCACCTGCTATGCCCAGGCCCTGCCCAGACTCTCAGGCCCAGTGGGGAACAATGGCCAAGAGGCAGCTGCAGGCCTCTGGCTTGGAGGTGTCCCCAGGAGCTGGCAGTCATGCTGGGAGCAGGCAGAGTGGGAGACAGCTGTGGGAAAGAGAGCTGGGACAGCAGGGGTGGTGGGAAGGTGGTTCCTCAGTGCTTCCAGGACCTGGGGGCCCTCGGGCAGAGAAGGTCAAAGGGAGGGAAGGCAGGGGGGCTGGGATTTCCACAGAGCTGGAACACAAAGGCTCAGCAAGTGGTTCCCTCCATGGGGAGGGGAAGCACTTGGAAGACTGGTGGCTGAGAAATGCATCCATAGATGTGGAGGGAGCAGGTGTAAGAGCTTCCTTGCTGGCTGATGACTTTGTGGGGCACAGTTCTTGGGGTCAGACACACATGAGTTACCCTTGCCACTGCCACTGGATCTTGGGGAGGCCTGTCCAGGTCCCCAGCCTCAGAACTACATGGTAAAAGCATGGAGATCATGATCTCCAAGACCCCTTGCAGCTGTGTGTTGGGAAATTCTCTGTCCTTATGATCTGTGCTGTTTCAATCCAGAGTCAGGCATCGCCTGCTGCAACCCTGCTGTCCAAATGCTGCCCACACCTGCTTCTCTTCTACCCACCATGGAATACTTGTCCCAGCTCTTAACCCCACAGCACGGGCAGCTCAGGAGCAGTCCCCATCCCTAGATGCGCTTAGGAAGGGGTCTACACTCAAAGCACACTGCAGCTGCTCTGGGCTGATAGCGAGGTGGGAACAAGAGATGCAGCCACAGCAGTTCTGGCCTCCCGTGGCACGTCTCCAGCCAGAAGGAGCAGGTGCTGACAGGATCCTCCTGCAATTATTCTAGTGTAACAGTTTGAGGCAACTAAAAGCCCAAACGAAATCTATTTGATTTATTTGCTCACAAATTCTGTATAATGGCACTGCGTTTCCCATTTGTTGAAGCATGTGCACCTGCCGCATGCTTGGGACTAGAGGGATGGAAAGGAAGCAGACAAGTGACAGGTTGATGTGGGTTGAGCCCTCTCTGTACTTGCCACAGAGTAAGTAGACAGCCTTTCTCTGTGATTCCCCTGTGACAGAACCATACATTCATGTCTCTACAGTAGCTCTTGGCTACACTACAGGTGGGACCAAAGACATCTCAGTGCTTTTGGGTAGAATTTATTGTCTTGAGCAGTTTTAGATTTACAGAAAAAAAAATTGCTTGGAAAATAGAGAGCTTCCATACACACACACTCAGGGACATATACATCCACACACACAAGGCTTCTGTCATTAACATCTTGTATTGGTGTGCGTAATTCTCTCCATTGGTTAACCAATATGTGGTACGATGTTGAGTAAAGTTCAAAGTTTACATTAGGGATCACTCTTTGTGTTGTACAGCTATAGATTGGGACAAATGCATGACTACACATATCTGCCCTTACTGTATCATGCAGAATAATCTTCCCTGCACTGGACATCCTCCGTATTCCACCTATTCGTTGATCCCTGGCTGACTCTACGTATTTGTGCTTTCCAGAATATCACATCATTGAAATCCTAGAGTGTGTTACTTTTCCAGAGTGGCTTCTTTCACTTACTTTTCTCTGGGTCTTTTCAAAAGGAAAAAAGAAAGCAGACCTTCTGCAGACCCTGCCAACCTGGAAGTTTCATAGATTTCTGAGCTCATGGACAAGGAGAAGACTGTGAGGGTTTAGGGAGACCCTCAGAGTGGGTCACCACCCAAGTGCTCAGGGGAAGGCCATTGCACACATCCCCTCAAAACCACAGCCTGGAGTTGACACACTTCTTCCATTTCTTCCCCACCCCTTGAGTCTTAGGGTGAGATTCTATCCCTCCTGCCTGTGTGTCTTGGCTAATCCCCAGGATGCAGGCATTTACCTTCATGCTTCTTGTCTCCTTCAGTCCTCTCAGCTTCTTCCCAGCAGGGATGGGAAGCCCAGGAACATCATGGTGCCTGATGTTGAGTGGCCCTGAATGAGAAGCACTGAGCCCAAAGGAGGTTCATTCACAGCAGGGAGGAGTGACCTACATCAAAGGCCAGCAACAGCACCCCAGACCAGGCATCTGAACTCTACTGGGAGAAGTTACTGACTCTGTGTGGGAGGCAGCTGAGCCCCTATACACCTGCTTATCACTCCACACCCTCAAGTAAAACCCCAGAACTAAGTGGGACTCCATGTCCCACCACTGGGGCGGGTACTGGATTTGGTAGTTTAGACTCTCCCTAGAACACCCTGGCTATCCCTCCAAATGACAATGCCTGGATTCAAGTCCAGCTCTGCTTCTGGTTCCAGCTAATGCATGCCCTAGTAGGCAGCAATGACTCAAGTTGATGGGTCCCTGCCAGCCATGTGGGAGAGCCAGATTTGAGTTTGACTCCTAGTATTGACCTGAATCTGCCCCAG